CTTACAGCACCTAGTATTCACGAGCAGTCACCCATCTAGGTACATCTGACCAAGCTCGACGTTGCTTACTTCAACGATCGTACGAGAACCGGTGTTTCAACGTGATATGGGCGTAATCCTATGAATATCTAACAAACACAATAATATATATAATAAATATATATATATATATATATATATATATATATATATATATATATATGTGTGTGTATGTATGGGGGTATCTGTGTGTTAGATTGGATATAAGTTAATAGGGGTCCTGTCTGTTGTGCAAATTCAATATAAATTGATCACCCAGCGAAGATCAAAACAAATACGTACATCCGGTGTGATTTCTTAAAAGCTAAAAAAAATGAATTTAATTCATTATCTGGTGTGCTTAAATAATATTGTCAAAAAATTCCAGATTTCAAATTTAATTTTCCTTTTTTTTTTTCCTTTGAAGAAATCATATCGTATGACCATATTTTGTTTTGACTTACGTTAATTTTTTTTTTAATTTAATAAATACCTGTTTCTTTTTTTATATTCATGATATAGGTAGTTTAATCTATAGCCATATAAAAAAAAAATTAGAAAGAAATGATTAATTCTGTTCCCAGTGCGTATTTAAGAATTCCACCTAATTTGGAATTTGAAAATCGACCTCTGAGAAGAAAATTCAAGTCAGTTTTAGTTTCGAATTATTTTCGATTTTGCAAAGTCTGCCATTTTAGAAGTGTGTTTTACTAAAACACCGGAAGCCATTAACATTCACATCAACACTTCGTGTCAGGGGCGTCCGGTGAGAAGTGGAAGAACCTGGCAAATATATTGATGAATTTCGATAGATTTCAACAGCTAGGTAGATGTACGGATATGAACACAGATAGATAGACGGATATGAACCAAGATAGATAGATAGATAGATAGATAGATATGAACATCCTGAAATATATATATATATATATAGAGAGAGAGAGAGAGAAAGAGAGAGACAGAGAGGTGGGGGGATTGCTATATACAATATAACAAAACACATACATGCAGATCGAAGAATCCAGACTTACAAACAAACAGGAAAAATTGTAACCAATATATATATATATATATATATATATATATATATATATATATATATATATTATAAAGAGTTAATCATACCTTGAATCAATTAGCAATATTAATGCAATTATTGGCGAAATCCCTTCGCTAGTAGACATAATTATAAGCATTATACTACAAATAATCCACTGAATGATGAGATCCTTATGTATAAAATGGATACGGTGTATTTTTTAATTCAGCTAGTACTTTCAAAGACCTCTGTCTCCATCATCAGGCTGTTTTTTTCCTTTAGAATCAAAACTGGAAGACGAAATAAATGTGTTGCAGACCGAAAGATATTTTTAAGAATGAGCTATTTATTAACGGTTGTGTAATGTTGGAACGTGCAAGTCGCAACGCTAAAGTTCAAATATTTCAAGTGAGAATTTTTATGTGAATTTTGTAATTTGGTAAATCCACGAATTTTTTATTATAAGGGTTTTTACCAAATTACAAAATTCATATAAAAATTCTCACTTGAAATATTTGAACTTTAGCGTTGCGACTTGCGCGCTACAACATTAATAATTTAAATACTAATTTGCATTAAAAATGTTCAAGAATATCATTTACACAGTTTTGTCTATTAGGCATTGAATTGTGTTACTTGGCGTCCTCCATAGCTTGCCATGACCTTTCGGCTAACCTGATGAATATTTATGAGCGTTCTTAAATGTAAATATTTTGGGAAATAAATAACATTTTTGCTCGAGTATATAAATACTTGTTACGAAATAAAATCCTTGCATTTGCCTTTATATTTCCATTTATGCACCAGTGTGCTTGTAAAATCTGCAGAAACCCAGATATCTTGAATTCTGAACAAATAACACAATTACTCGAACTTTGAACATTTATGACCATTGCTTGTCCCGTAGTAATGATGGTGTTTTGTGCAAAGTATTGATTTTTACATTACTGATCGGTGACAGAATAGAGTATCCACATCCGCCAACTTCAAATTGAAGCAAGGTTTAGTGAGCTAGACTAGCTGACCATTAGTTCTGACTAATTTCAGGCACACTTGGTGGTCTATATTTAAAGCACTGTACCCAAACTAAATTTAGTAAATTAGTGCGCTTTGACGTCGTATAATTGTCAGCGAAGTAGTCACTTAACTACAATCCGAATTTTCAATATTTAACAAATTTGTTCTTGTACACCTTCTTTCCATTTGCTATGTTTTTCCTTTACGGAACAATTTTAAAACAACGTTTACTGTTGATAAAAACCCTAGCTACAATTCAGTCATTAACATTTCATTCTATAAATATTATTTCATAAATACGTACACATACATACATACATATATATATATATATATATATATATATATATATATATATATATATATATTAATGCATGTTTCATTAAATAATATAGACAAGTTTTGTCTATTTATTTTAAGTAAGTTTCTTTCATATTGTCTGATAAGTATAATCACATTATCGTTGAAAGACGGAAGGAAAACACCATATTGATACATGTTTAAATCCAGTCTAAGCTTTCGGCTTACATAAGCCATTATCAAAGATGACAATTTCAATATATCAAACAACTCACGGACGAAACAACAATTGCTGCATGAAAAATTTCAAAGCAACGACAAACTCGTGTATACGAGACGCAGAAGCGAAAATCGCGTCGCAGCTTGTGACGTCACACATGCTTAGATTGAATTTAAACATATCAATATGGTGTTTTCCTTTTGTCTTTCAATGATAATGTGATTAAGCTTATCAGACAATATGAAAGGAACTTACTTAAAATAGACAAAACTTGTTTATATTACTTAATGAAACATGCATTAATGAAAAATTGCTACCTAAATATACATATATATATATATATATATATATATATATATATATATATATATAATAAATCCAGATATATATATATATAAATCCAGGAGGATAAAATCCAGAGAGCTCAATGTAAATCCAGAGCAAATAAATAAAACAGACCATGTTTAAGGTTCCATGTAATAAATTATTTTCACAACAGCTCTTTTTAAAGGACTGCGGATCATCAGACTTTACTTCCAATATATATATATATATATATATATATATATATATATATATATATATATATATATATATATTATAAAAAATTGCTTAACTTTAATATTTGTTTTGTTGTTGTTTTCCCTACTTGACGTTTCTTGGCAATGACTATTCTTTCTAGATTTTTTTTCAATTTATTCCGCGTGTTTTTCAAGCGGATTTATACACGTATGCATTCACGAATGTAACGTTAATTTAAAGTTTATGTTTATATGTGTATTTATCTGTGTGTCTGTGTATATGTGGGTGCAGCAGGAGAAATATAGTAATCAGCCTAAAGACTGGATTAACGTTGTTTGAATGTTAAAAGTGAAAGATAGTGAATGAAAACCAACATTGCTTACCTCATCTATCAACAATATATAGTAAAATATCCTTTCAAAGACAGTTATATACAACCTGGAAAAAATCTGCCTCGTCAGTCATGTATCGAAAGATATGGGTAGCCTAAGTGTGTATCTCACATGGCACTTATCTGATATATAACCTGTCCATTCTCAACCCCAAGAGGCTCTTTGTTTCTTTGATTCAGTAAATTTTAATTTTTTATAAACCTAGTAATATATAGTTTCTCATGTATACACAAAGGACTTGGGTCATTTGACGATCTACATATTCTAGCTTTTTCTTATTAACTTCCATTTCACAGTAGGTGTTTTATTGGTTTCTTTTAAGTGCCAGTAATATTTCGATACGGAAATTAACAATGTTGAATTTTTGTTAATTTCACCAAATACAAGACTCGAGATCCATTCCAGGTAGAGAGAGCCACAGTTAAAATGGTAATGATGCATGAAGTATGTGATATAAATGGAAGGATAAGTGGTAGGAAGTGAAGATTACAAATGAAATGCTGGCTTGTTACCTCAGAAAATATGTAGTAGTCGTAGTCATAGTTGGATAAGACAACTACTCGTTCACGTCATTAAAAAGCGAATCAAAATAAGACATATTAACAAAAGAAAAAAGAAAAAGAGATCATTGTGTCAATTTTGTGGTGACTTAATGACATCTTTCCCCGAAATTAACTACTTGAACCCAAATAAAAGCCCAAGATTTTAAATGCAAACTCTCTCTTTTCTTCTAATTATTTGCGTTTCGTGAGAAGACACTACCGATTTAGAAAATTAGTTTGATATAATCTTGCTTCTTTTTATTATTACTTTCTACTGCTCAACGCTAAACTTAGTTCATACGAACATATTACGAACTGTTGCAATAGCAAATGTAATAGTGTATTTTATATATATATATATATATGTCGTAATCATCATCCTGACTTGCGGCCTTGTGATGGTTCTGTTGAAACTTAATAAATAATTTTTGCCCTCTGTCAGATAATACTAAACGTTAACATATGAGAATATTTCTAAAGAATTAATATTCTTATTTTTAATCCGAAAAGAAGTCAGAAAAGGATTCCACAAGAGAGAAGCGTGAGAGAAGAAACAGTTAGCATAGAACTTACGGTTATAGCTAGCTATTTCAATTGTAAGATGATGAAACCTTGCCGCCAATATATAAGAAATAAATACGCGTAAATTCATAAACTCTAGGTAGCAAAAAGGGAAGCAATATTCATTTTGAATGGTAGAAAAATGTGACACAAGGCCAAAAGGAAGATAGACGACGATTGAGACGTGACTTGCAGGTGTAAATACTGAAGTATTTAGGGAAACACCCACGTATAAGTATCATCCAGAAAATGTCAGCTCTAATAAACAAATTCGTTGAATATTCTTCTTACATCTGGAACACGGAGGCAACGAGAGTGATTCGTCTCCATGGAAGGGGCATGGCGTGTTCTAATTAATATATTAAATATAAATATTTCTAGTACTAAAGGCTGGGGCTGGGGAAATAGTGATAAATCGCAATATATATATAAGATGGAAATAGTGATAAATTGGCAATATATATATATATATATACATTTTCGACGTATGAGGATCTGAAAACT